TCCCCAGCCCCCCCCCCCCCCCTCCCCCGGCCCCTCCCCCATGCTCCCCCCCGGCGCGGCCGCCGCCGTGGCTGCGGCGACAGCCATCACCCCTCCGTTGGCTGTATCAGCCACCGCCAGCCCTCAGCAGGCTGGCAGCGGGGGCAGCACTAAACCATACCGACCTTGGGGGACGGAAGTTGGAGCCTTTTAAGTCCCCCCTCTCCCTTCCCGGTCCGGCTCCCTCCTCTCCCTCAGCACACGCGCGCGTGCACACCCACACCCCCACGTGCACACCCACACACGAGCCTCCGGGACTCGGCATGTCCTTCCTGCTCAGCCCGGCCGAGGGGCCGCCTTCACCCAAAGGGCCTGAGAGGTGCCGGCAAGCCCGCCGAGGAATGGCGCAGCCATCCTCGTTTCAGGCGTCAGAGAGGACGCGGGATGGTATCTTCTTCTCGGTTTGTTTCGCTGGAGGCACCTTGAGGGAGCAGCAATGGCTTTCAGAAACAGCGTGACCATATCGGCACGTAGAGGTTTCCTGGGAAATGCGTAGACACTAGAACTAATAATTCTCCAGCTATGCATCCTTGTTTGGCAGAGAGGTGAGGGATCGCACCTACCGGATCTCCCCAGGCTAGAAAAAGAGTTCGAGTTTCATAAGTGCCTGACATTGAAAAAATAATAATAAAAAAATTATATATATATGTGTGTTCTGCTAAAACAAATAACATTGCACAGGTATGGAAATGGTATGGGAGAGAGGGAAAATCCTGCATTCAACTGCAGGACTAGGATATCTTTCCAGGGAAGAGTGTGCTCTTGAAAGGGAGAGGGTTTTTTTAGCCAAAAGATTGCCGAGAAAGAATGTTCGATTTGACAGGCCTAGTTCTCGCTTCCTTAGTTCACTTTCTTTGTACAGACTTGCCAAATTGTGACATCTAGCATAGCATTGGTAAAAGCAATTATCTTATCAGTGCTGGGATTAATGAACGTTTCAGCACTGCCTGTGAGCCTTGAGGCACCCTTTTTTATGGCTTAAATATGGTGCTAGCTTGTATCTGCACAAACAGTGAATTTGTCATGCACCCAGAAGTAACCACCTATTTAAAGTGTGCACACTTGGATACGGTTGATTCATGCCAATACAAGAGACTCAGTGTTGCAAGAGTTCAAATTAACTTATTTAGCTGTATTTGGACATTTACTTTTAGCCGATTCTGTGCAAGATCCCTGTTCTTTTCACTATCAACTACAGGGAGAAAGATCACTCTGGGTATGAATGAAGTTATGGTAGGGACAATTTTTAAATTGGCTATTAACACGCCAACATTGTAATGTGGGTTTGATTCCAAACCAAAATGAATGTATTAAAGGGTATGTCAGTAAATTATTTTGTCAATACCCAGACAACTAGTGCTGCATAAAATGGTTTGCTTTCATTTTTTATTACAGTGACTTAAAATAACCTAAGTATTTTAATACATCCAGTCAAGAACTAGAGATTTTATGAAAAAAAAAAAAAACAAAAAAACACAGCATGTATTATTATGCACTTGATTTCTCTGCTGTGTGGAGAAAGCAATAAGCATTGAGAATGTTAAACATTATGCAAAATATACTTTAAAATATTTGTTTTAAAAATACTGTACCTAGTCGGTCTTTTATGCATTACTTGGTTAACCTTTTTTCTATGCAAAAGTCTTTACATATCACTAATTAAACGAAGTCCTTTTTGACTGCATTTTATGGATGATTTGTTGCAGTTCTTGTTTGTTCTTGAGGAATACTCGTGGACTCAAAGTTAGCTTCTGCCACTGGTAACAAGCCGGTCGGCTGCTCCGTCCTCTTCTGCTCCCCTTGCTCAGCCAGGGAGCCCGTCGCACACAGCGTGCTCTGAAATAGGCAGAAAAAAGCAGTCAGTAAAGGAGCATTGGTTTTCAGGCTTGTAAACTGGTTCTGCATTGACGGTACGCTTGATGATACAAACCCATCTGTCCATCCCAGAGAGCCCCCAGAATCGTTGGGGTTTCTAGGTTCAGCTTTCCTTCAGATCCTCACTAAGGGCCTGTGTTTAGAAGGGGAAAATTTCAACCCAATGACATCATTAAATATCTGGATTGAGAGAGGGTGGTTTTCTCCTCCGGTTCTGGTCTTCTAATTTGGCAGTTCTCACTGAGGCGGGGGTTTGTTACTGTTTCACCTTAGATCTGCAAAGCCCCTCTGTAGAAGGCGTGTAAAGCTCTGTCCGTAAGGATAAGCAGGAAGTCTTAGTGTCCAAAAGACACTAAAAGATTATTATGCCCAAATAACAGCTGACAAGACTGAGGCACAGAAATGGGGTGACCACCCTTCAGCCAGACAGAGACTTCACCCGTTGCCAAAATGCAGCCTCAGCTCGGTGACTCACTCCCCATCATCCCTTTCTCCCAAATGTTAAACGTGTAACCCATCCCCTCCTGCATCAGCTGGGCTCCAGCACCCAGGCGAGGAGGGATTGCGATTTGCCAGAACAGCGTGTTGTCCCATGGAGAAAATGGACAAAAGAGGGGGAAGAAGGCTTGCTACCCCTGCACTGTAAATCATCCTTGATACTCTTTGAGGTTTTGTTGTTTGGGGGGGAATTTGACATTCTTTGGTTCAGGACACAAGTGCTGTACTGCTGTAGTGGCATGTTTAGCAGCATCCAGTTCAGGTACCATTCACTTTCCATATGAGCAGTTTCAAGAATAAAGATGACATTAGTCAACTGGGAAGTAGACAAAAAGTGGGCTTTATTTACATGAAAAAGAGCAGGTTGCAACCCTACTTGACTTTAAGCTGTTAACTATTAACTTGCCCTCTAAGAGCCTGGTAGGAGGTCTCCCATGCATCACACCATGTTAAAAATGGGCAGCCACTGACCTGGTTCCACCTAAAGGCTTCAATCTAATTGATGTGCTGCAAATCATTATAATTTGGTGCCCCAAATGCAACATTTTGCCTCATTCTAAAGAAAGAAATTTTGAAAAAACATTTCTGAGACTGATTAGATGAAAGCGTAGTTGTTTTAGCATCCTGAAACAACGCATCACGGATGGATTTGTGCAGCCTCTGTGTTTGGGCTTATCCCATTTTCACTCTCGCAAAACAAGCCAAATTCATGTATGCCGAGTTGCTGATGTCTCCTCTATTTCTTGTTCTGTAATCTTTTGTTTTGGCTTGTTTTGTTTTGTTTTTTAATCTGAATCACCTGAAGGGACCAGCACATGAGGCAGGAGCTCAGCCTTCATACCTGTTTAGTCCTGAGCTTCTGTTGGCAATGTTAGCTCTGTGACAGCGGATGAAGACTTCCCAAGTGAGAAATTAATGGAGAAGAAGCATATTTTACATATACTGTTGGAAAGACATCAGAGAGTAATAGTTTCTGATGGCTTTGGTTGTAGCTGTGCCAACAGGTCAGAGCTGAAGGAGTCAATGTAATTTTTAAAACAGAGCAAGGGAAAGCTGTTTCCTTGGCATAAACAGGATCCAAAAGGTAGGACTCGTGGCTGTGCATGCACAGCCTTACTTCGGCCCTTTTCTATCTTTATTCTGCATTCAATGATGAATGGACCTGGAGGAAGAAGAACATTTGTAATTTATATAATTTAGGACTAGATCATAGCACATAGCACAAGAAAGCAAATCAGGCTGCTTGCTCAAAAGTAAGCAGTTGTCTTTGAAACCTTAAATTCCAGTTACCAAGAGGATCAAAGGAGGTGATGCAATTTCCTAGAATGTTTTTCTTAAGAGGAAAACGCTAAAAACCAGTTCTGCCACTCAGCATTAGCAGGTTTGAAACCTTAGCCCTCAGCAGCGCAAATACAAAGCACTTAGGCTGCTCTAGCTGCGGGACTAACTGTGTCACACAGCACCGGGAGAAGATGATTACCCTAGAGAGGACACGGGCATCTGGGAGGCGGTGCTGCCTGCCCTCCCTTTGCTCTGACTGCGAGTGGAGGAAATCCGGCATTAGGTATTGCCCCAGAAGAAAAACCGGCTACTGTGGCCGAGGGCTGAATGCATATATTCAGAGCAGAATAATCGTATCCTGGCTGTGACTACATCTGCCTGAACAACTGCCAGGAGGTGCCAGTTCATGCTCATGCCTCCTTAGTGTAAGCCTTCAAAATGTTTGTTTGCAGCTATTCTGAAAGACGATACTTCAATTGGGTTGTCATGAGATAAGTAAAGGGCATTTAGCGAAGCCTGGGACGTGGATATTGGCAAATTCTTAGGGCCATTGTAAACAAGAAGTTTCTTCTTCATAATAGAAAAAGGTCACAAGCATCTTTTCATCAGAAGATACCACATCAGAAAATACTACTGAAGCGTGGACTGTTACCAGCTCTGTAGTCACCGGTCTCATTAGTCACCTGCTTCTACAGGCACAGATAGCCTGAGATCACACAAATGAGGACCTGCGTGATTTAATAGTCACAGGTACTTTTGTCCAACTTCAAGAAAAGATGAAGAAACTGGTATAGCTTTGTTTGCAAGCTTCATGTGCCCAGCCTCATTTGTGTGAGGCTACTGCCTGAACCCGAGTGTAATTTTACTTAACGCTGAAATGTTCACTGTGCTCTGTTCCTCTGCTTCACCATTTTACACAGCAAAGAATTGTGTTTTGGAAGCTAATGTGTAAAGGTCTCAAAAGGGATGACCGCAGCAACACATCTGACCGTGGTCGGAAATGATAAGCAGAGGAGCACCAGGCAGGTGCTAGAAATGCTGGGATCTCAACTTGGAGGGTAAACCCAAGCTTTCCTGATTTACTAATGAAACAAAATTTTGACAGATAATTATCTGAAAAGAGGTGTTTTGGTTTTGGGGTTTTTTTTGGGGGGGTTGCCTCTGGTAATTGCTACTACTGGAAGTTGTAAAGTGCTATTAATGTGTAAATACAATCACTTAGTCGGCATTCAGTTGCCTAAATGTTTTCCATTGTCCTAAGCTGGGCTCCAACTATTAGTCTGGAAGGTGCAGGTCTCCCTTGTGTCCTGTGTCACCTCTACCAGCCTGGTGCAGACGCCTGGGAAACCCAAGGTTGCTTAAGTGGCACTAAATGCATATGGCCAGGCAACTGAATTTCTCCTTCTCTATCTTGCATCAACTGTGGAGAGATAGGATTTGAAGCTTAATGATATTTTCACGTGATCTAATTTTTTTCAAAGAATCAGCCTCCTTCTCACCTGAAGTATCAA